CATCAATGATGAGAGAGAATCATTAATTGGCTGCCTCCTGCATGCCCCCTACTGGGGATTGAACGCACAACCCAGGCATGTGCCCTTGATGAGTATCGAACACGAGACCCTTCAGTGCGCAGGCTGACGCTCTATTCACTGAACCAAAAAGAGCTAGGGCAGGAATAGCATATTTTAAAAATTCTTGTGACACACTGGTTGAAAGTCGCTGGTTTAGGCTATTTTGTTTTATCTCTTATTGACACCACTATTCTGTTCTCTTAGGCTTGAGCATTTGGAGTGTCATCCTTATATCTTGCATTTTCATCCTCCCCTATAATTAAATAGTCATAATCTATCACCTTTTCCTTTTGATATGCATCCAAGATTTGTTCTTATTGCCACCACCATTTGGACCCATACTTATATTTCATTTGAACCGCTTACTTTACATTACTCCCCTAAATGGATTTCCTGCCATTGATTTCTCTCTCTCCATTCCATTCTTTATGCTACCACCATATTAATTTTTTACACCTTTATCATTATCTCTTCCCTTGTTCCAAAACTGTCATTGACTTCCCATTGATTGCAAGATGAAATGTAAACCCTTTAGCATTTTCGTTCAGTGTCAATCATTTCACTCAGTTTCAGTTGTTATTTACCATTTATTTTTCCAGTAAACAAGACTTAATATTGACTCTGGGATAGACACTGTGTCAGAATTCGGAATTAAGGATGAATTAGCACACAATCTTTGCCCTCAACAAAGTCATAATCTAATGTATGAATCATGTAGAAATAATCACAAAAAAATATATAAGGATAGTTTATTGAAGAGGGTAATAAACTCTACCTGGTTGGATCTAGGAATATATGGCAGATATGAACAACATTTAAGCCAGGTTGTAAAAGATGAAAGGGTAGGAGTTCATGAAATATACTAGTTGGGGTTTTAGGAAGAAAGGGCATTTGTTAAGGAAATAGTATATGCAAAAGTATCAAAGTACCTTTACATAGAAAGTTAATGAGACCCCCCCCCCCAGGATTTTATATTTATTGGTAGTTACACAACACCTGGCACCTTGTTTGCAGTTGTTTGAGTCATTTTTGTTTTTGTCCGTCTAGTCACTCTAGTGTGTCTTTACACATCATATTTTTATTACTGTAATCAGGGTACATTTTTTGTTTTTTATTATGTTGTAAACATTTCATGATTCAGTCTTTATAATTATTTTAGTAGCTGCATAATACTCATTAAATGTATACACCATAATTTACTTAGCCAATATGCCAATAAGCCTAGAGGAGGGAAATAATTATTTCTGATTTTTTAGTATGGTGAATAATGCTGCACTAAACATCTTTGTGCATATCATTTTTTTCTTCTGAATTATTTCCTTAGGAAAAATTCCCAGAAGTGGAATTACAGGATCAAAGGGTATGAACATTTTATGGCTCTTAATATGTGCCAGTAGAATTTTTATAAGAATTGATGCAGCCATTGGTTTTGAATGGCCTGAAATGGATTTCAACATTTAATCAGGACTAATAATCCCTTCAGTATAGGATTAGGTTGCTTCAGATTTTGATTTTATCATTTTCACTAGCTAATTTCATATTTTTTCTGTTTTGTGAAGTAATTATAAGAGTTATTTTAAATTAACCTTTCTGTTTATGCTTAGTGGAAAATTCAGTGTTGTTGTTACTTTCTTACCACATGCTTTGAATAAAATACACATTACTATTTATTTGTAGGACTTGATTAGAGACCAAGGGTTTCGTAGTGATGGAGGTAAGTGGTGATTTCAGTTTTTAAAAACTCAAGGAAAAATGCAACTGCTTTGCTGCTTGTCTCCTTTATATTTGCTTCTTTCATGAAACACAGACACAGAGAAAAATGTGTAGAGAAAACCCAAATTTTTTTTGTTTCTTTTAGTATTTATCATTTATCTCTTAAAATTTTAACTAATTTATAACATGAGTAGAGAAAAAGAAGACATTAAAAGGGTTCTTAAATATACTACCTATGATTTAAAAGGTTGTCAAGGAGAGATTCTTAGTTATTTTACCCACTTTATTGATTCCAAACCCTCTCCAAAGCTGGAGATGCAAAATTTCTCTTGGAAATCTCCACCAATATTTAAATATTAAGCTTAGAATCAATTAAAACTTGATTTTTTAAAATCATTCTTGGAGAATCCCTTGGATTGCCTGTTACAACTTCTCAATTTGATAGATATTGTCAACTATTTCCCTCAGTCTTCTAAAAGGGTTTGAAATGTACATCTTACATAATGAATGGATCCCTAATAAAGAAGCCCAGTTGCCCTTTTTTGTCTGGTAAATAAAATAAGCAAATGAGAAATTAAATTGAGATTTCTTATAGAATTTTTATCTGACTTTTCACTCTAGCACCCAGTAAAAATAGGGGGCATAAGAAAACATTGCATAAAAAAATTCTTAAAAATTGCATAATTTAAATAAGAATTTACCCCCACATAATGTTTTTCCAAGAGATGGTATTTGAAACTGTCTTAAAGTTTTCTTCTAGATGATTCTCCATATTTACTTTTTCAGCTGTCTTCTATCTAATAAGGAAGGCCTGCAATACTACTTACCTTGGTTAGAGTTGGTCTCTTCACTGTGACCTGCTTTGTCTTCAAAATGTCTAAGCCCAGTCTCAAAGATATTTTATATTGAACATTGTATAAACCATCTTTTGTTGTGTTTCTGTGTACCTGTGAAGCTACCAAAGTAATAACCCTGCATTAAATACTCTACACTTCATATTTACTATAGTATATAGTTATAAAAGTGTTTTTTCTGTTTGTTATTCCATGAACCCTCCAATTAATGTTGCTGCCAGTTTGACTTTCATATGTCTTAGTAGCTGTGGCTTTTGAAAATTTTGCCCAATACATCCAGCATTTAAATGTTGCCATCATTTTAGCATCACAAAGTTAACTTAGTCTTAAAAACTGCCTGCTTAGTATCTAAAATGAAGTGGCATCTCTTGTCCTTTCTTATGAGTCATTTTTTAAAAAATCATTGGGATTTTGAAAACAGTGTTTTAAACATCCAGAATTATTTTGTGAAGCAGGCTGCGACTCATCTTATTTATTCCCCATGACTTCTTTCATTTCTTCTGTGTGTCTGTCTTCCTGTGTTTGCCTGCCCCTCTCTTTCTCTTCTAACAGCCCCTTTGAACCAGCTGATGCGCTGTCTTCGGAAATACCAATCCCGGACTCCCAGTCCCCTCCTACATTCTGTCCCCAGTGAAATAGTGTTTGATTTTGAGCCTGGCCCAGTGTTCAGAGGTAGTTGGGCTCTTCTTTCTTGTTTTCACCCAAAGCAAACTAAATATAAACTACAGCTACTGTTTGTGCCTCACCTTCACAGCGTGTGTTTGTAAGTGTGAGAGTTTTCAGTACTAAATTTCTGCTTGGCCTGGCTGGAATGCTCTGAATGTGCTTGTCACACATACTCACTACCACAAGCTTTCTGTCATAAATTTTAAAAGCAAGAAAAGTCTTAGATTTCCATCATGTTTTTTGTTGCATTACTTTTTGGTCTTGGTAACTTCTTAAACTCAGTGGGTGGCAATAAATAACGTGGGAGGGGTTATCCTACTTGAATTCCTTTTATTGTAATCTATTTACGTGGTCACCTTGATGACTGTTAATACTTGTTATCAATTTTTTTGGTTTCTAAAAAGTAAAAATGGAAATCCCTATTATGAGATTTTACTAAACTTTTGCCTTTATTTTTTCTGTATTATCAGCAGTGTCCTTTTTTAAATGTAGGACATGTATATTTTATATTATATCAGAGGTAGGGAGCTTTGAAAATATTTTTAATGTATTTGAGATATTTTGGCATACTTCAGGAAATTTGAGGATTGATCCTTTCAGTTATGCCTTAATCTGAGAAAAAAAGCAGTATAATTTCAATCTCCCATTTTGTCATAACTTTAATAAGTAGTTAAACTGATTTTTTAAAATAAAGTCAAAATTGAGGCAGGAGTTTGCTATAAATAGTTTTAAAGAATTTACTGGCTTTTGCTAGTGTCTGCCAGTTATTCTGAACATAGTGGTGGTGTTTCAGATTTTTGCTCTCAGTCCAGCTGTTTCTCAGAAAATCCATAGAGTGGGCTGGAAGTCTTACAGGACCAAGTGGTGTAATTTAATATTATCAGTACAGTACTAAGTAGATCAGAACTGGGAGGCCAAACAGTTAAGGCTTTATGATATTGAAAATTATCAATAGAAGGTAGAAAATGGATTGTGCTCTAGTTAATAGACATTCCATTTTCTTTTAAAAATTTACAGATGAGATTATGGAAATTTCACATGGTAGGTAACCTGTGATGTAATAATGATAAAATTTCTACACAGATTTAAATGTTGCCATTGGTATCCCTTTTTGAAAGATAGTGACTGCCTCTTTCCAAAGAATAGTAATATTTTTTAAAAATTCTCTTGAAGTCTTTTTGTTCTGTATGTGAAATATTTTTTGATATCTTAGTCCTGCTTAACTGTACTCAGGCCCTACTAGGAGTCATTGTCCTGAACTACTCTGAACAAGGTACTGTACATGAACTTAGAATTATTGCCACTGAGCCAGCATTTGGAAAAGTATCCATCAGAAAGTATGCAACCCTGCCAACTGAGTCCACTTTCAAAGAATACACCCCGTGGACTCAGTTGACTGATAGAATATTTCCATTTGTAGTAACTTGGCTGAGATGCCATATCACTTACTTTGCTCTCACTTATAAAGGCAGTCAGGGATTATTCAGAGAGGCTTGAGAAACCGCTGGCTTTGTTGTATACAGGCAACAAATCATATTTGTTTACTAGACTAAGCCTTTAGGAACTGATGAAACTGATCAGTGCCTCTCACTCTTAAGTAGTCTGGTATGTGGTGTAGGATTTTTTTTTTTTTCAATGTAGTGGCTAATATGAAGAAGCCAAATATTTTCAACATTGCCATTAGAATATTTTTCCATTTGGGGATTTCCATCTTTTTTTATATTATATTTTTTATATTGATTTATATTTGTTTGCTGAAGCTACAAAATAAAGTTGTTGTTTTTTATATAGGCTGTTAAATTGATTTTGCTTTTTTGATTTTTTAAGTCAAAGAACCTTGGGAATATTGTTTCGTATTTATCTCTTATTTTAGAGAGATTCTTCTTAGAAAATGAACCAATAAGCAAAGTGTATATCTGTAATCAGATGTTTCAAGGGTCATTAAATTGGCCAGAAAACTAAAAGAAATTATCGTACTAATTACCAAATGAGGCCCCTTTTTGGCCTATCCTTTCTAAACGTTCTATACTTGAACATGCACTATATTTTTTAAATAAGTCTAAATCTCCCCACACCCTCTGCCCCCAATAAATAAATTAACATACTTGATCTTCTTTTAATGGATACATTTTTCCTTTCACTAACTTAGGGTCAACTACAGGTTTATCTGCCACCCCCCCTGCCTCATTACCTGGCTCACTCACTAATGTGAAAGCATTACAGAAATCGCCAGGACCTCAGCGGGAAAGAAAATCATCTTCATCCTCAGAAGACAGGAATCGAATGGTAAAAGTATATGATATCTTCATTCTTCTGTGTTCTTCATAGAAGTCAGAGCCAAAGCTAACGTCACCTTTAGATATAATGATATATCCATATGTGACACAGAATTCCCAGAATCAAATAAAGTTAAGAGCTGATAATTGTTTGCTTAAAGCATATTTGCACAACACAGATTTATGCTCTCAACTCTAATGCAATTAAGTTAAAGGTAGTTTCAAAAGAGTAAGAATACAGTTGACCATTGAATAACAAGAATTTGAATTGCATGGATCTACTTACATGCTGGTGTGTGTTTTTTTCAGTAAATAGACAGTTGGCCCTCCATATTCCCAGGTTTTGCATCTGTGATTCACTGGACCAAGAATTGAAAGCAGTATTGGTCCTGGAACCAATCCCCAACAGATACCAAGAGACCATTATAGTGAAGTTTTGGGAGAAATCAAAAGTTATACACCGATTTTCTTTTTTTTTTTTTTAATATGGAACGCTTCACGAATTTGCGTGTCCTTGTGCATCCTAATCTTCTCTGTGTGGTTCCAATTTTTTAGTATATGTGCTGCCAAAGAGAGCACTATACCCCAATTTTCCACTGCTCTTGGAGTCAGCACACTTAAGCTCCCCATATTTGAGGGTCAACTGTAGTGTTCTCTTTTTAAAATAAGGAAAAATGGGTACGCCTAGTATTTTAAGAAGCATTATTAGGCATATATATTCTAAAGCAGCCGTCGCCAACCTTTTGGGCCTCATGGACCACCAGTGGCAACTGCTGTTAAAGGGTTTATCTGAAATTCAAATATTTACCAAATGATATTCTTTCCTATTTGAAAAAATAACTTTCTGCTGCACAATAAATACATATTTAAAACTAACAATTTAATATTAACATTAGTGTAGTAATAGTATATGTTGGATAGGTGGATTCTTTACCCTACCAAAGTGATTGTATATATTGGCAGTTTTTTAAGAGACTGGATCAGATAAGATATCTGAGGAAATTTAGCACTGACTAGAAGAAAGTAAGGAGGTAAATTATCAACAGTAATCATAGTATGTTAACTTAAAATTTTGGCCTTTGGAGCCAAAACTAGCCACAGATACTTATATTGCCTGTCAGTAACCTTGAAGAACTGACTTAGTTCTTCAATTTAAGTTCTGTCTTATAAGAATCATACTTCTATTATTCTTCCAGTGTGTGTGTGTGTGTGTGTGTGTGTGTGTGTGTGTGTGTGTGTGTTTAATGTCCCTTTCACACTCAGACACGGGAGAATGTACTTAGTGTGAAACAAGGTTTTCCCTTTTTTTGTTTGCTTTGGATTGACTTTTGCACTATTTTTATCAAGAAAACACTTGGTAGACGGGATTCAAGTGACGATTGGGAGATTCCTGATGGGCAGATCACAGTAGGACAAAGAATTGGTTCCGGGTCATTTGGGACAGTCTACAAGGGAAAGTGGCATGGTATGTATATAGTATGGTGACCTTGTCACAAGTTATAATAATAGGAAATATCTAATAACTTTTATTTTTTAAAAATCAAAGGGAGTATTCACTTTTTGTATCATTAAACTTTTTTTTATCATATCCAAGAGTTATTAAAGATTTCTAACAAAAATTATGGAAAATAAAAACTAGATTCATAGCCATCAGGTCTCCTATCATTATATTAGCTACAGTTTTAAAAATGTATTTTTATTGATTTCAGAGAAGGAAGAAAGAGGAAGAGAGGGAAACATCAATGATGAGAGAGAATCATGGATTAGCTGCCTCCTGCATGCCCCCCACCAGGAATCGAGCCCACAACCTGGGCATGTGCCCTGACCAGGAATCGAATCATGACCTCCTGAGCCACACCAGCTGGGCTTAGTTACAGTTTTTTAAGATGATGATTCTCACCTGTCTGGCATGGCTCAGTGGTTGAGGTCATGGCTTGATTCCCAGTCTGGGCATATGCCCAGGTTGTGGGCTCGATCCCCAGTGTGGGGTGTGCAGGAGACAGCCGATCCATGATTCAATCTCATTGATGTTTCTCTCCCTCTCCCTTCCTCAATGAAATCAATAAAAATGTAATAAAAAAAAAAAAAAAAGATGATTCTCCAGGGGAGCTAATCCCCAAGATGTTTTTTCCTTTGATAATTTTTCTGCTTATACTTTTACTAGAGGCCCGGTGCACAAAAAATCGTGCACTGGGGGGGTTCCTTCAGACCGGCCTGCCCTCTCTCACATCCCGGGAGCCCTCAGGGGATGTCCTACTGA